AATGGCTTGGCCTGTGGGATCTATGCTGGGTGGGGGGGCTTAGGGTGTACTGCAGGAATCTGGTTCTAGTATCCCCAAGCCTGAGTTCCCCTGGTTAGAGACTAATCAGAACTCGCCATTTGGGAAAGCTGGGAAGACTGCAGAAAAGGATGCAGAAAAGGCTCCCAGAGCAGCTGCAGCCCTCAGCATGCCTGAGCCAAGTGCACCCATCCTCAGTGTGCAGGCTGTGTGTGATGGGAGGACGACTCTTGAAGATGCTTCAGGAGCCGGACCCCGGTGGCTCACGCCTGTAATCCGAGCCACTCAGGTGGCTGAAATCTGAGAACTGCAGTTCAAAGCCAGCCCGGGAAGGAAAGGCTGTGAGACTCTTAGCTCCAATAAACTTCTCAAAAAAAGCAGGAAGTGGCGCTGTGGCTCAAGTGGTAGAGCGCTAGCCTTGAGCTGAAGAGCTGAGGGACAGCGCCCAGGCCCAGAGTTCAAACCCCATGACCACCCCAACAACAAAAAGATGCTAGAGGGCATGTGCTTTCAATACAGCCAAACACACAGGTGCTCTGTCAGTCCCTCCTTTGGCATCTTGGACATCTTACCCAGGTGCAAAGACCGAGAGCTTGTTGGCAACACACGATGAGGCACATGTCTCTATCTCTCTGGGTGGTTCCAGGAGCTAGGGAGAGAATGAGACTAGCAGTGGGGTAAAGGTGATGTAAAATGCTCTGAAGATAGGAGTGGTGTCTGTAGAACTCTCAATGCCACCGACCCGTGTGCTTTATACCCAACACCGGTACCCTGCTCACCCTCGTAAGCCTAGATCTGAGGGCTGAGTCTGTGATCCGGTGCAGGAGAGGTCGGTGTGCCCTGCCCAGATGAGGCTTCTTGGTAAGCCTGTGGCCGGGGAAACAGACCCAGGGCACAAGGACAGAGGCATCTTGTTTTCAGTGTCTTAGACAATCAGTGGCATTCCAACCGTTTCCAGAGAGGTATATCTTTATGCATACTTACTGAATATAAAACCCAAATCTTTGGGCAAAGACAGTCTTTTAATTGGACTTGGCTTAGCTGGTCGCAGACACGATTACAATTCCATAGCAAACAGACATCCTTGCTAGCAGTCAGGCAACTTGGAAAAAATACAGACACAAGTTACTAGATGCAGCTTCATATGCTTCCTAACACAACAATGGCTCCAGCTTTTCCTTATATCTGCTTTGTGCGTTCAGTTCAGTGAGATAAAGCTCTGATATTAAATTGTACAAAACTAACTATGAGAAGTAGAACGATAATCTCACAAAATACGGCTATGAATATTACCAGTATTAGTTAAAAATTAATTTTTTTTTGTTTTCCTTTGCTGGTCCTGGGGCTTGAACTCTGGGCCTGGGTGCCGTCACTGAGCCTCTTTGTGCTCAAGGCTAGCGCTCTATCACTTGAGTCATCGTGCCACTTTCGGCTTTTTGTGTGGTTTATTGGAGATAAGAGTCTCACAGACCTTCCTGCCAAGGCTGGCATTGAACCATGACCCTCAGATCTCAGCCTCCCAAGTAGCTAGGATGACAGGTGTGAGCCACCAGTACCTGGCATAAATTATTATTTTTTTTGATTCTCAAGTTCACTTAGCCAGTAAGCACTAAATAAAAAACTGGAATTCTTTTTTTTTTTGGCCAGTCCTAGGGCTTGAACTCAGGACCTAGGCACTGTCCCTGAGCTTCTTTTGCTCAAGGCTAGCATCCTACCACTTGAGCCACAGTGCCACTTCAAGCCTTTGCTGCTTATGTGGTACTGAGGAATTGAACCCATCAGGGCCTCATGCATGCAAGGCGAGCACTCTACCCCTGAGCCACCTTCCCAGCCCGCTAAACAATTTTTTCTCTGACATATTCTCAGTTTGTACATGTAAGGAGAAATGTTATCCCAGCCCATGGGAGGCCAAGGCAGGATCATGAGTTTGAGACCAGCTTGGGCTTACGTACTGTAAGTCTAAAAGGAGAAAAACCCACATTGTAAATCACACATATTTAGAGGACGAGAAAGGTGTAACGCCACTCTGCCTAGGTATGACCGTCCAAGAGCAATTTCATCACAACAGCCAACTGTCCCAATGGACAGGCAGGTAGAACAAACACTGAGAAAGTTCTGCTACTATCTGCCCGCAGGCAGGTAGCACAAACACTGAGAAAGTTCTGCTACTATCTGCCCGC